GTAGTTTTAAATTGCATAGTGATTAAGTTTGAATTAGGTGTATAAATGTTTGGTTAGTGGGAGTTTGCATATCATTAACTAGACTGCGGATATTTGTGTACCATCTATTAATTAGTATTAGTTAGGGTTGATTGTGACCATCCCATTAGTACGTGCGTGTAACAGACAAACATATACAATACAAAGAAAAGTTATTACTTAAAATCTTGGGATCAAATATTTAATTTTAAATATTTGTTATAAGAATAAAACCGTGGAAAAAGGCGGTGAAATAATTTGTATTCTTACAGTTCATTATTTATCTAAAATTATACCGCACCCATTAATGTATTCAGAAGTAAAAACATCCCCGAATATTTTTCGCAATTAAAAATAATGATCCCAATTTTTCAAGCCATTATACATAAAGAACCAAGACAAACCAAACAACTAATCGTCTTCAAACAGCCAGAAGATTTTCTCTTTCAATCTATTCAACTAAAAATAAGAAAGCTCTGCCAGTAGAAGACAGGTTATTTTAAGTACCGAAAGTTCACTCTAGTTACTATTCCCAACTGAACAGAAAAAGCATTCTAACCTTTTCAAATTTAGAAAGCACTCTTAACTGTCGTCAGCATATTCTCAGAGCAAATTAACTCAGCATCATCAAACATTAAACCCGGACATCTATGCAATGTGAACATCTACTAGTAAAGTAAAATCGTAAATGATTCACAACTGTAATTAAAACATATTATTAACTCTAAAATAAAATATCTGTTCTCGATGCAACGAAACGTTTTATCTCGCGTTTTATTTGCTAAACAGAAAATCCGTAGAGTACCTACGACTCTACTTAGCAGTATTATTATCATAGCAGGATCACAAGGGGTGGCACCATCTGATAAAAGGGTCGAAGAACTCACCATTCTCCGGAAACGACGTGGACCTTATCACTGGCAGCAGGATACCTTTCTGTACCAACTCGTCCCTGCTGGCTCGTACCGAGATTTTCCTCTCGAGCGCTGCAATCGTCAGAGAACAACCCCCGTTTAATCGGTAAAACAAAGTACACAACGCCGATACACAATCATGGCAAAATCAACTCATTTAAAATACTCACACAAGGAGGCGGCCTCGAACTTGTCCGATTTCTTTTTCCGTTTCCATTTCCACGGTTTGAAGAGTCTACCGAGGGCCGAAAATTTGCTTTTCCTTTCAAGGGGTGGTGTTCTCGCCCCCGAGCCCAAACTGTTCGTTCGTAAAGCCGCCCCATTTTGTTTCTTCGCTGTAACAAACAAGCAAACAGAAAACATAAATCACTTGGTCTCGAACAATTTTGTATTAAACATGTTATCGTCAATTGGTTTCACCTCCTCGCGAAATTACCATTGCAATTTACCCGATGATAAAACAGTTGATAAAATAAACGACACGGTTATCGACTTGGGATACGCTTCCAGGGAAGCAGGAACGAATATAGCTGCCTACTGTATCGACGAGGGATGAAACTACCCTCGGCACTCGCGTTTACCACCGCCAGACTAAATCGATCGCCCGTTTTAACAGAGTGAGACCAATGGCACTAGAAACATCGTTTATGGTTGCCTCTTGTTGGTTCGTTTACCAGGACCCTTTGTAAACACAAAATTCCATTAAAAAAATAATTTCGGATATAGAACAACGTTTATAGAACTAGATGCGTTGAAAATTTATTCCAATTGAATTATTTGACAAAAAAAAGTAGGAAAACGCCCTCGTAGTGTTTTCAATGGAAATTCGGTCTATTCCGGAAGCTTCTGAAATAACGTTTGGTTGGTCACTGCAGATTTCACGGTGATTCCCCGTGGGCCGTGCAAGAAAAATCCGCCGGTCGCTCTGACGGTGTTTATGTTAACTTTATTGAGTTCCTTCGACATTGTCGGAGCGAATCCTGCGGGAATACGCAACAGGGATAGGAGGACACGACGACAAAACACAACGACTTCCATTCTATCCGAAAGTGGAATTTATGCACTAGCGTTTTTCTATTCGCGTCCCGAGAGAAATATTCGTCGGTCAAACGTTCACGGGAAATGCTATCGAACGCAACCGGCGAGCTTCCAACAGTCCCGTACCTCCTCTTAACTCATTGTTAGACGGCCACGTCGATGTCACCATAAAATCAATACCCGACACCGTGGCCCCATAGATATTTAATGGCTCTCGTGTTTCGCCGAACGGATTCACCTTGGTAACTCGAGACTCGTGGCGAGACTCGACTCTCGACGATCCATTTGGATTATCCGCTCGAGCAATAGTTATCTTGATAAACTCGGATAGTTTAAATAAAACTACGTATGCACGATGAGTTATGGTACACAACGATGTTTCAAATGAACGTTCTCGTGGAAAATGGAAGAAAACATTTTCGTAACTCGAAACAATTTTTAAACAATGATCAATCTAACCTTTCCAAATCTCCAAATCAAAGAAAGAATTTTCTGTTCCACGAACATGAAGTAATAAGATTTTAAAAAGAAAATAAACCTACCCTATAAACACGACAATTTATGAAGTTACGGACGATCCGAACAGATTCAGAGTTTCAGCAGAACATTCTGTATGACTCCGCTGTACCGTTAGACAGAATTTCACACCCCCGAAATGTTAAATAACGCGTTCACCCTCAGCGAGATAAACGAAGCTTATGAACGCCCCTCAAAGTACGGTTTCAGACATAATTCAACATAAACCCACCCCGTCCCGATAAAAGAACCAACCCCTGATGTCCTGTCGTCGGCAGACGCATTTTGACAAACATCGAACGCACCCCCGTACGGGGGCGATTGAAACATCCGGCATCCGTCGCCGCAGTACGGCAAAGTAAGTCGTGTATCAGCCACGTTAGGAATCGTCGCGTCGAGGGAAGAAAGGGCAACGGGGAGGGCATTGTCAAACGGCAATTTCGGGCCAGCCCCTAGCGGAGAATAACGGATGATAACGTGCGGTAGGGCAGTTTCGCCGGGAACGACGATTATCGGCCCCCGAACATCCCTCCGGGACACTTTTCGAGGATCTTCCAGCCGGAATTCTTGGCACACGCTTTGGGGGTGGATTCAACCTAACTACTGCAGTAGCTATTCGCGTTGGGCCCGTAAAGGTCTAATTCGGAATGATTAAATACGGGGTTATAAAAGACAATTGCCTCTTATATTAATTAATAATGAATTTTACGACTGCTGTTGGCCCGTGTTACGTCTGTTTCCTGTTGGAATGACGTTGGGGATGTCACTAGGGAGGCTGCTCCCAGAGAATATATCCTTTGTATTTCATGGACAAGTGAAGGGATAGATGAACGAGTAAAGAAAAACGAACTTGGAAGTACCATTCAACCGTTTCTGTACAAATTGCTTCATGTTTTAATCATATAAGAGACTATGTAGCTGAACTGTATAAATCGCACATGTTTATCAATATCTTTAAATGATAAATGATAATGACATAGAAATTTTCAGTAGAAGATAATAATCTGAGCGCCAATTTCTTGGATGACAAAGAATATACATTCTTGTAGCTAAAGGTTCCGTTGACCCAGCAAACGTTACGTTTATACATATTCCTCCGACGAAATATTTATGGAAATAAAAGAATGACATAGATAACGATTATAAGGCTCATCGATGAGAAGCATGGCTACGAAGTAATCGTACCTACCCGAATCAATCGAAGTTAATCGTTGCATCGACGTCCGAGCCCGACGCGTGGCAAACGCGAAAGACTATTCATTGCTACGCGATAGCATGGTTCTAGAACGATAAAAGGCTGAGGGAACGCGGTGCCAGTATTGCACGCGGTGTCTCGAAAGCGTGCTTCTTCGATCCCCGTGCGTCGAGAGTTTTCTCGGGACTCAATGCCATCGGAGATGGCTCAGCGGGCGTGCTGTTGGCACGGGATTCGAGGGGACGGCATTCCTTGGCAAGCGACGCCAAGATCGCGGGTCAAAATTACTTGAAGAACGCTCGATCGATCGCGATATATCCATCTCGAAGCGTTCAGATAGCTGAAAGTAGAAACGTCTCTATCGACGATCGCTGCTTCCGAGGAATCCTGTTACTATAGTTCCGTCTTACAGTGAAAATCGCGTCACGTTCTGTATTGAGAGCTCGAGACGTTTCAGCGTTGACTGTATCGAAAAATTCTGCACAAAATGATGATGTGTCTGTTTCTTCGAATAAGCAAACGTAGTAACAGTCATTACTATTTGTATTACTGTTAAACCTTTGCACTTGAGAGGTAACTCTTACTCACCACCTGATTCCACACAGTAAAACCATAAAATTTGATATTTAATATTATACCTTGTATAACTCATCAATTTAAAAAGTATTGAAATAAAATAGCTTTGTTCCTCCATATACGTATAACTTCTCTTCGAGTTAGTTGCACAAAATATCGTCTTTATCTCATCGGAAAATGTTAAAATATTTCTAGTGAAAAACTTTCGAGTGCAAGGGGTTAATATATGAATACCAAAGAAGAGTTAAGTTGGCTGTTTAAGTGAGTACATTAAGTGCCATTATAGAAGAACATTTCTTTCTTGGGATAAATAGAAATTAGAAGAAAGTAATGTCTGTTTTAGGTGATCACCATCATGAACATTGAACTAGTTAAATTTTTTAATGTCCCGGTGTCTCCGATCGGCCAGGTGTTAGATTGTAGACGATTTATCGATACCGCTCGCCAAGATTCGAGAAAATGGAAGGAAACCGATCGGTGACTCGATGCCGTGGCGGAATAATTGACGCGACAAAGAGCTTCCGGTACCTCGGAGGCCTATTCACGCGCGTCAAAGCCCGTCGAGAGCCGCTGCACCGATGTGCATCGTCTACCGGTACGCGGACAATAGCAATATTAACGCGACGATGGAGTGCAGTTCCCATTGTTCTACATGGCGATGCATCTTAACGTGACCCGACCATTATCGCGTCAAGATGCTGAAAAAACGGGAGACAAATCGTTGTTAGCAGAACCACGAAACGCTCGACCCTGTGCATTTATTTTTAATATTTTCTTCTTTATGGCATTTCAGTGGCCGCGTGCGCAATGACGATAAACTATTAATATTGTTGTTGTCTTCGTTACGATTATTTCGATAAATTGACATTTAACCCAGATCTTCAGATATCCAGTGTCCTGGGAACCGACGCTAGATACTCCGTTTAAGAATCAATATCAAAGATACGAGAACTTCCACCATCCTCCAATTTTTAGTCGTGTATTTTCCAAATATTTTTCACAGCATTCCCTTTAAAAATCAAATAGGACCGTGGTCATATTAAACGCGTCAGCAAGGGAGTAATGCTTGTTATCTCAGTCATGAAATGAATCAAAAGGCAAGGGGTGAAATCGAACCGACGCGTTGGTATCTCCGTCGGGCGATCGCCTAAGTGAGTCGTCCCGCTTAAGAACGGGACAAAGGCTTTCGCGTATTAAGCCGGCCAGCAGCGTTATCGATCCCGCAGCTCGAGAGTTCTTGAACGAGTTATCGAATCACACGGCAATTTAATCCTCGGGACGGTACGCGTGTCGCATGGCAGCGGACTGTCGATCGATCGATAACGAACTCCGCCGGTGGGTACTTGTTACGCAGCAAGGTGTGCAACCGCACCGGCGCGCGAGACCGGCCACTTCGTGAATTCCTAGTTGCAGCGGTTAATATGCAAATCGGGGCCACGCGCAGCGTCCGATCGTTTAATCCACGAACCAATGCTGGCGTGGGTCCTGCGGATCCAATGTAGCCCGGCATTCATGATCGCTGGACCCAAGGATTCTGTTCGATGTGTCAACAAACCCGAACCGCATTAGGACCTGATCCTGGAGATAAATATTCCCTATTAGGGATGATGCTTCAAGAGGATGGATGAGCGTCAAAGGATTAATGAATTCTATCAATAGACTTTTTCGGGGAATTAGAGAATGTCGGTGGGATGTTATAGGTGATTAACAGTGGATAACCAGCACATTGATAGACCATACCCTGGGTTTTAGTGTATTGAAGTATATATAAGACTTTGAGAGTGATTGATTGGAAAATGAATTGGTATGAGTCATTCCTTTACTTTGACAATATAAATTCCAATAAAACCGCTATAATAGTATTTGTAATATAAAATAAGAAATTTGAAATGCGCCATTTTGAGAAGACGATTGTTCTAGTGATAAGGAATATTTGATAATTAATACGTTCACGCTAGTGGTCGCTTAATTGAACACTTAATTAAAGTAGTTAATTTAAACTAGTTGCAA